GAACGTCTTCGCCTCTACATGCCTTTGTAAACCGAAGCGTAGATACTGACACGCAGACTTGTAGCAGCATTTGCTGTGCTTTGGTGCTTGATGCATTCGTTTATGTATTCTTGTTGCGATGGATCGAGAAAATATCTATAAGTAATTTTGGCGAAATGATGTGCTGAGGGGAGTTGGTGCAACTGCCAATCATTAGCAAACCCTAAACCCTAAACCCTAAACCAATGCTTGTATGCTTCTGCCTGCTTGTTGCATTAAAGTCTTTCTTGCAATCTCGGTGTACGGTGCGTATTAGCAATCATCTTTGCCGAAACGGTAAAACAAGAGAGGAAGCAACATAGTTAATTGGGGAATGCAAAATCCCTTCAGCATTTTGTTTATTGTGTACTTCGTTTGTTCTGGTTTTATCCTGTATTTGGTTTGTTGTGCATTCGGTTTGTTGTGTATTTTTATACACAACAAACCAGGTAAACAACAAGCCAGTGCCAAGAGGAACTGAGGGCAATTGACGGATTAAAAGGTTTCCAGTTCGCACCCCCAACTGACACGGAGGCGCTTCGAGGGTGTTTAAGTTAATCATCATACATCAGCTGCATTTGCTCGTGCACAACGACCGCGTCGAGGTCGATGGCAGTGCAATTGTTAATCGCGTAGAGCAGCCGTTCCCTCATTATGGAAACGGAGGAATACAAGGGCATGACCAGCCGGAAGCTGCAAGTGGCAGCTGTAGGCAACCGATTGTCGTTAATGGCGGCTCCGCGCTGCACGAAACAGAAAACAGCAGAAATAAGAAAAACTGCAGCAGATGCCTCTGAAAGCGTCGTGGTGGGCATAGGGAAACCCACGGAAATAAGAACGAACGTGTCTATACAAGCAAAACAAATGCATAATCATGGAACCAAAACTTCGTGCAAGGACTTACATCAACGGTTTCGTAATCCACTGTCATTCGCCAGTCACTGCTGGCAACCGGGAGGCGCGAGCGACCGCATACGAATCTGCACAGAAAAAAAATGGAAACAAAATACACAACAAATACGATAAACAATAAATAGAATACACAATAAGTAGAATACGCAACGAATAATATGCAGAACAAATCAAATACACAGATAAAATACGAGAAAGCTAAGTACAAAACAAGCAAAATTCACAAATAAGATGCGCAACGAACCGAATACACGACAAATAAAAAATACGCTGTTGTGGATATTTCATTAGTAGTGTATTTGTTTTGTTATTTATTTATTCGTGTACTAGCCAAGAGAAGCTGCTTACCTGAGGAAGCGCTGCAACTGGTCGTTAGTGAAGGACTCAAGGATTTCAAAGAGCTGCGCCTTCAGGCGTTCTGATGAGCACTCCGTGTGTTCCTTTAGCGTGGCCACATCAACTTCTCGGTCGCCGCAGATGCGATACTCCAATCGCCTGCATTCATCACAAAGATATGTAAACAATGTCTGCATCAGGTTGTGCTGCTCTTCTGTTATGAAGACGAACACATACTTTTTAAACAAATAAAATATATTCTTGCTTCTTTTTCGCACTACTTGATATAATATAATAAGATCGTGTTCATCATATCTCCAGCATAC